TCATAACCCCTCATTAACCAGGTACTTATATATAATTGTCCCTGTGGTAGACTGTGTTTTTAAACTACCGAGATGAACTTTGTTTTGAGCCGAGCACCGCCCCCATCGAGTCATGCCTGTCTTCCCTGCCCTCAAAGACCTCTGTCTCCACCCCTTGCGGCCTTGGAAAGTTTCCCTCGCCTTATGCTTGCACAGGGCAGTGAGGCTTGCCAGGGTTCTCTCAGGGCTGTGGCTGTTGGTTCTGAATTCCTTGGAACTAGGGATTCTCTGTTAAGGAGTATACCACTCAAATACACAGGCTGCCGTAGAGGAGAGCTGTGTGTGAGTGAGCAAGCAGGAGCAGCTGAGGCCCATGGAGGACAGATGAACTCTACTGGGTAATTTGACCCCTGAAGAATTAGACTGCCCAAGTATCTGAATTCTTGTGGGAATTTCATGGGAGCTTTCCTGCGGGCAGGGTAGAGGACTTAGAAGAGTGTGAGGCTGGAGGAAGGAACAAGGCTCGTCCCAGGTCGTCAGCCCACCCCCACAAGACGGCCACATTCGCAGAGAACAAGTTCAGGGTTAGGAAATGGTGGCTGGACACAGCAGAGAAATCCGTGCGGTGGGGTGATGTGATTGCCAAGATGGGGAGTGCCTGTTGTCTTCTTGCTTCTTCCCTAAGCTCTTGCCAGAATGCCGCCTCTTCCTTGGCACATTTCCCGAGGCTACTCCTCAGAGTTCCCTGCCACTTCCTGCTGCTCTTCTCATCCACCATTGCACCTGCCAACCTCCGTGGAGTCATGCCAATGGACGAAGGGACTGTACACTTCCCTTCACCTCTTCAGATGGGCACTAACTGCTAAGTACCACGATTCAAAAATTAGTGACATATAATGAACTTATTTTAAGAAAGTCAGGATGTACACTGCAGCCCACTCTTGTGATAACTAACCCAGCCCTGCCCTAGGGAGACTGATTCATTCATGAAATGTTCATCCTCAGGACCCGGGTACCATTCATTAAGCCCCACCTCCCATCGTCACCACGCTGGAGATTAAGCTTCTAATACCGGAGTTCCAGACACACCTAAAGCAGGGATATTTCTAGAAAACAGATAGAAAGTAGACAGAGCTCAGATGCAGGAAAGGTTGATGTGCTGGTTTTTATAGAGTTGCTATTTTTAGCTGGAAAGGACTTTTGAGGAAAACTCTCCTGTGTGACACTTCCAGAAAAGATAGTTTCTCCGGGTTGAGTCTGGTGTAATTCTGAGAAAAGACAGAGGGGAAAGGTTCTGTTTTCTCCTCTTCACTGTCTAGCCAGGGTGGTCCACTCTTCTCATACCTGTATCTGGCATGTAAGTAGACAAGGACCTGTGTCACGATACCCTTAGATTGAGGCTGTGTAGTTTATGTGAGCCCCAGTCTCTGTTGGGACCTTGTGAGCACGTCTTCTGTCATTGCTGTATCTTTTCTGCATTAAAATTTGGCATAGCATTGCACCCAAGAGAAAAAGAACTTTATGTTGTTGTCCTCAAAGCCACTAACCCAGCGTGGGTCTCAGTGTGACCCCACCAACCACAGAGCAGGAGAGAGGCACCTGCGTGGCACACACTTGATTACCCAGCAGACTGACAGGATTGAGTGGTATTGTTTGTGCTGTGTATACACGTCAGGTTGGATCGTTTGGTTTAATTTGCTTGTTTGTTTTTTTTTAATCCAAGGAGATGTTTTCTTTCACTTCGCTCCAGAAGTATGCTGGCCTTAATAGTGGTGTTTTCCCTCATTCTGCTGTTGCCAAATATATACTGTATACTCTGAGCCTTTGTGGAAAATGAATTCTGTATTGACACCAGTGGAGTATGGGCAGGGAGAGAAGGGCCACTCTTTCCCTCTGAGTCAAGCTATTGAGGGAGGCAATGTCCTATGCACTGTTCTGTCTCACCCTGTTGGTACCTCTTGTAACCTCTACTTTGTCCCTTCTGACTAAAAGCAATTCTAGAAATGTTGTTGAAACTGTTGCTAAGGTTGTGTTAGTACTGCACCTTTAAAACCTTTTTATTTCTATTTTATATGTATGGGTGGTTTGCCTGTGTGCATGTCTGTGCACCATGTGTGTGCAGTGCCTTCAGAGGCCAGAAGAGGGTGCTGGATCCCTAGAACTTAATTTACAGATGGTTGTGAGCTGCCATGGGGGTGCTGGGACTTGAACCCAGGTCCTCTGCAAGAGCAGCATGTGCTCTTAAATGCTGAGCCATCTTTTCAGCCCCCCACTGTAACTTTTGTTTTATGTTCTATTTGGACCAATTTTGGTAGCTAATTAAAGCCCTTGATCAGTTCCAATAGAATCCAATAATGTCATCTATAGTAGACATACTTTTAAAAGGTAAAAAGAGAAAAAGGTGAAAGTACTTTCTATAACTGTAATTAGCTAGTATAGTCAAAGTAACTCTTTCAGTGTGCCATCCATATAACAATTACTAATGAGGTGTTTGACATTCTATTTCCCATTTAGTCTCACAAACAAACCAGCGTGTATATTTACAGCACATCTCAATTTATATTAGCTATATTTCAAGTGTTTAAGGGCCATGGGTGGCCAGTGGACACCATGGTGAATGGCGCAGTCTTGTGCATTTTGTGGCACCTAATGCTAATATAAGAAATAGTGTGATTCTCAGTCCCAACTGATACATCTACAGCACAGTTCCTGCCACCGGGGATTAGGGAGTACCATGGACCTCAACCCTAGACAAAGAACTCCAGGCAACTAAGGAATGCTGAGAGCAGGTGAAGAAGTCTTCTCCAGGGAGGAGCACACCAATTAGTTATCCAATACCAAGTAGTCATCCCTGAAGTCATATGTATGTATGTGTATGTATACATATACATGTGTGTGTAACATTGTGTGGACCGAAGAGGTTGTATTATATATTTAGGAGTGTGTGTGTGTGTGTGTGTGTGTGTGTGTGTGTGTGTGTGTGTATAACAATTGAAGTAAAAGGCCATACGTTGGAGAGAGTGCAGGGCAGAGGTCCATGGGAGGGGTGGGAGTAGGAAAAGAGAAGGAGGCAGATGATGGGTAGTGTTGGTTTGTTCTAAGGTGTGTGCTCTAGGGGAAGCCCAGATAGAGATACACATCACTGGGTATTCCCTCCAAGAAAGGGAATTCAGAGAGAATGCAGCAGGGCCTGGAGGACTGTGCTCACCTAAGGAGGCCCTGGCTGAGGGATTCAGTCTGCTGTGCAAGGGAGAGCAGATCTGAGGAGTTGGAGGGGATAAAACCTTGAAGGTATTAAAAGCCCTGAAGGGACCCTTTAGAGCTCTGGCACAGACCAATGAGGAAGCGACAGAAAGAATCCCAAAGGCCTCTGACTGACAGACTGAGGCAGAAAGGCTCCCATCCAAGCCATGCGTTCAGAACTTCCTCCGAGTCCCAGGGAAAGGACTAGGAGGAGCCTTGGCCCTGAGGACTTGTGGATTATAGAGAGTCCTTTAGCTACACCTGTTCAGATTTCCACCTACAAGAAAATCCCTGAAAATCCCCTGGAGATCCAGCTGCCTGAGGGCCAGCTACGGAGCCAGGCCACACCTCTGGTGTGCTTAGTGCTCACAGGGCCTCAGACCACCGAAGGCACTGTGAGGAGGACCCAGATGTGCCAGATGTCCTTTAAGGCAAGTCCCTGAGAGCTGCCCAATGCTTTGCTGACACCCTCTCAGTCAGGGCGTAAGCACACAGCCTCACTTCCCTCAGACACGCTGAGCAATCTAGTTTTTATCCTGGAAGGCCATGCACGTGACTAACCCAGGTTTCTGCTACCTGGTGAAGCTGGAAGGGAATATGAGAACACCTGTCCCTACAAAAGCACCAGCTTTTTGCCTCCCATTGCTCAGACTGCTTTTTAACCTCCAAGAGAAGGGAGCAGGGTCTGTCCTGGTATCCCTGGTGGAGCCCAAGCTTCCCTCAAAGCTGCTATTGAGGATATGGCAACAATATAAAACTGTTATACTGGAGATTTAGTGGTGGCTTGCAGACACTGTGGAAAGGAGAAAGTTAGCTTTGAAATGCTGATGGTCTTTTAGACTGTATGGAATGGCAAAGGAAAATAAAGTACATCACTAAAAGTAAATGCACACGCGTTTGGGGAGCATGTGAACAGGGGAAAATCTAAAACCTCAGAGCGTCTCAGACACGAGCTTTTGTCTGATGTGACGGCTCTTCTGGATCTTTGGCTAGAGGCAAGAAAAGAGCACTCCAGCCTGGAGGCTACTGACTGTCACTCACACGCCATCTCAATTTTGAGGCTATGATAACATCTGAAGATCTTGGCGAGAGCTTCCTTGGGTCGTTTTAAGTTCTGATTGTCCACTACATTTTCAGGTCAACAACAGTGAGGGGACCCATAGTGCCTAGTTCCCAGGGCAGAAGATGACATTTAGGTAAAGAAGTGGCATACAGAGCCTCAGTAGCAATAGTCATCGGCCAGGTAGCTACACTCTGGGACTTGTTGCTTGTGCTGGCCTTATTTTCCATCCTTATTCTTGTGGATTTTACAAAATGCCACAAAAATACCTCATGGGGAATTCAGCTGAAGCAAGTAATTTGGAAATGCGCAAAGGGCTGAGCACTCCAAAGTGGTGTTACTCACTATTTCGTAGTGGTCGCTGGCACTCTGTTGTAACATTTGTTGGTGAATTCTTTTAGAACTGAGAGACAGTTCAGGGGTGTGCCTTCAGATCGGTGGTAACCAGAAGCTGAGGTCCATTTGGCTGTTTAAGAAATAGATGGGAGCTTGGAGAGAGGAAAAGGAAGGCGCTGGACTGGTCGGAAGTGAGCGGGAGACAGTAGGATTAGCCTGGGTGCTGTCGAAAAACCAACCAACCAACCAACCAACCAACCAAAAAGCTGCGTGTCTAGTGATCTAGTGATGTAACACACGTTGCTTTAGTCTTGGAGGCTACTCTGCTCTGATCTACTGAACTCTGAATGTGAGTTTGCTTTTAAGTTACATATTTGTGAGTGCTCACTTTGGCAGGGCATATATTAAAGTTGGAATAATACAGAGAAGATTGGTATGACCCTGTGCAAGGATGACATGCAGACTCATAAAGTATGCCTTATTTAGAAACATAAGTTGTGCATTTTGAGTATATAAACCCATATATATAATTATTTTAAATTCTCTGACTTTTCAATTCCTCAGTGGTCTGAACAACCATTTTTAAACAAAGATACCATGTAAAATAATACCACATAAAAGACAGCTAATATAACAAGTGGCGCATTCACATTCTTTTAAAGAAAAAAATTATCATTTTTTAAAAATTATTAGATCTTGCTTTGAGTCTTCCCTTATGTTCTTAGTCAGAAAATAGGAAAAGAAAACGGATTCCGGTTTTAACTCCCAAGTTTTTATTGGGTGGTATTAAATGAGTCTCCTGGCATTTTGGAAACAAGGAACCGTGAAGGGAGCAGGGATTGAGAAAGGGCAGCTAGGAGCTGAAGCGTAAAGTCTCCAGAGCCACCACCTGGCCATGTGAAGCTGTGGGGAGGGAGGGAGACTTTTGATCACAGGGACACAGGGGCTTGTATTCATGTGCATGCTTACTGCAAGTTGGGAAACCTAGGTGATCCAGAGAGAGCTCTTCTTGCAAAGCAGTGTCCCTCACAACTGATTGCCCCATGGCTTCGTGGGTTTTTTGTTTTGTTTTGTTTTTCTCTTTTTGAGTAAGAGACTTTTTGCTGAGTGGCAGGTATTATGCAAACAAACCTCCCACTCTCTTGCTGGGACAGCCCTGTCCTGTCCGGTCCTCAACTCCCCCCCCCCCCCCCCGCCCCCCTGCCTCTGCTCTCCACCTCCTCCCTGTGACTCAAAGACAGAGATCTGATAGCTGGAGTGAGGTTTCAACCTGCCTGTGGCCACTCCACCTTTGGTAGGTGCCTAGATCTTGCCAGGAAAAAAAAAAAAAAAAAAAAAAAAAGAGGAAAGAGGGCAGGCAGGTGGCCTGGTGAAGTCATCCCTGGTGACACCTTCTCACACGACTTCAGGGAAAATGCGAGGCCCTCGGGCAGCGCTCCTGCCCAGCTGCCTGTCACGGTGCCGGGAGTGAGAGGTGACCTCTTTATTTTTAGCAAGGGGCTGTCATAATAGGCCACCGCTCTGCTTCATTCAAAGCACGAGGCAGACACTTTGGAAGTTTGTAAACACCGACTTGCTGAGTAGAGTAGGAGCGGTTTTTCTCTAGAAAGAGAAGAATTCCCCTGCCTGCTGGGGAGTCAGCAGCACTGTGGAAAAGGCAGCCTTCTCTGGCTGACTTAGCTGTGTTAAGCAGGGGCGGCTGCAGTTATTCTTCAAGGGCAGTAATGTCTGAAGGCGACGACTGTGGGCCAGGCAGAAGGTAACTCTGGCATTTCATTTTTCTGGAGTCTGTTTTGTTGTTGTTCATCTGAATGTATTCTGACAAGTTTAAATGTGTTTAAATGAAAATTATAATTCTAGGAAATTTTCTGTGGCAGACGCCAACAGAAGAGAGACAACATTAGCAATATAAGCTTAGAAATACCTGCAAAGAAGTGTTTATTTTTCCTTGAATGGGGAAATAATGGCCTGGGACTTTAAAAAACTCCTTTCCCCGTGTACGATGTGAGTCTGTTTGAAGTTTTTGATGTGTCTCTTTGACTTGAGATGATTGTGATCAAAAACTAAGCTCACAATTTTTTTTTGTAAGTTTGCATTTTAAAGATTTGACAGGCAGTTGTAAGAGTTGACTATTAAGCCAATTTATCAATTTTGATATTTAAACACTTTCTAAAATATACATTTTGAAAATTCGATCGGCTCCCTGCCATGTGGTGCATGGCTGTGAATGTTTTCTTTGCTGCTAAGAAGTGGGTACCAGGAGGGCAAGGATGCAGGTAGGTAGGTAGTCCACACGGGCTTGAGCATAGCTGCACCCATGCAGTCTCCCATCCTGCCCAGACAGACAGTATGTGAATCGGCTAGATGTCCCCATTGGGCTTCCAATTAAGGTCACCAAATTGTGGATATGAAGAAGTAGAAAGAAAATTATGAAACAAAGAAAGAGATCGTGGATCATCTTATTGCCAAAGAAAGAGAAGTCTCTAGGAAGGAGAGCCCCTCAGACTGTTTCTGGAAACCAGAGCCAAGGGTTTGGTTTGTGTGAGGCTGTTTATCCAGCTGCGGTGGTTTCCTTAAAGGCTGCATGTGTCTGTAGTTTTCCGGTTTCTGTCTTTCCCAAATCCTGTTCAGTGAAAAAGAAAAAGATTGGTATTATATTGAACTAGCTACATAAAATAAGACTAAGTGTAGCACCTAAAAATGTCCTTTGTAACAGCATGGCACTGTCTATGGATTAATGAACTAGCTCAGAGAACATTTTAGGAGACATTTAAATGTCTGCACTGGTTGATAGGTTGGTCCACGGGTGGCATGCACTTATTTTCCCAGACATCTGAACATTTCCGAAAGCAAGGCTTTCCCTTTTCTCTACCACCTAGGCATTCCCACCAGCTCCCTGAGTAGAGTTTTGGGTAGCTAGGCATTTTAAACGAATGCTTGGCAAATGGAATGCATTGATAAGCCATTTTACACCAGGGGCCCAGGAATCCTTATCATCTGACAGTTCAAGGAGATCGACTTGGCACAAATGGACTGAGGGCTGCTCTCATGAGAAGCCGCATTATCAGAATTCAATTAAATAGTAACTAATTGCTGATAAGGAATATCTTGAACTATTTGTGATGTGAGCTGAGCAAACGTCAGATTTTTCTCTGAGAGTTTCACTAATAAAAAAATAAACAGATGAAAAGGAGCATGTGTCTGTGCAAACATAAATATATACACGATCATTACCATTGTGCTCACGGACTGTAATATATTGTATTGTGAGTGAAAGCTTGCTCACTCTTGTGAGGTACTGCATTCCTGTCTCTCCTTTCTTATTCTGATGAGGTAACTTTCACTCCCAACACTTGGTGGGTTTTAGTCTTTGCTTTGTCTCAGGAACTTGTTTTTCCTTCCTCTATGTAGAAATGGGGAAAGATTGAAGCTAGGCTAGAAATAAAATATTCATAATTGGGAGAGAATTTTCCTCCTGCTAAATTTGAGATTACACGCCTTTGGATAAGTCCTTTGGTGCCATGTCTAAAAGAGAAATAACTATTCTAAGTCACGAATCTGCTGACAGACATGTTCTCTGAACTTCATTGCAGCAGTTCCTAATTGAATCTCACATCAAGGCTGATTATGTTACTTGAGTCTCATTTTGGAATTTGATGTCCTGGATTGCTCTGTAACTGCCAGAGAGCTAAATAAGAGTTTGGTATTTGATGAAACAAAACAAATAAAACAAAAAACAAAACTCCCAAACCAGTGAAGCCCACATGATCGGGATGCCTGTCCTGTAATGGGATGTGGGTCTCAGGCATCACAGGAACCCTCTGCTAGGTGACTTACAGTCCAGGGTCTCCAGGTCCCATTTTAAATTCACCTGATGGAAGAAGAAACCCTCCTTGTCTTTATCCAGTAGTAAACCAATTAGTAAGAACACTGGAAGAATCACAGCCAGTTTCAAGGGCAAGATCTGAGGGGGAAGAGCAAGAAAATCTTTTTGAAGCAGATCCCAGAAGGTAGATAGATATCTAAGCAAGAAGTACTGGATGCCAAAGAAGAAGGGGGAAAACCAGGAAAGTAGACTAGCTCCAGGCATATGGGAAAGCTTATGTGGTAGCCTGAGGCTGGGTGGTTCCTTATCTGACCTCATTTGGTTCCTGCCTTGGAGTAGGAGCTAAGCTGGCCCTGTGAGGTACCCTGGTTGGAAGGGTGAAGGTGGGTGTGGGTGAATCATTCATCTCCTCTTGTAGATGACATGGAAGGAGATGGGCCTGCGGCAGGAGAAGGGAACCCGTCTAAACATGAAACTCATTTGATGATTTTAGTGTGTCTTATCGTGAGAGCACTTTGACTGGGTAATTATCTTTGCACATTTAGCTGTTCACACAGTAGACATTTGTTGAGCTCTGACTCTTGACTAGTTGCTGTACTAGGTGATGGGTTGGTAGGTGCGGACCCTGCTGTCTTGGAGCAAGCAGTCTGAGTGGGAAAATGGCACAGGGCAGAACAACCAGCAAGCAAGAGCTCTCCGGGTCATAGGGCTAAGGAAACAGTTTGAAGTGGTAACGTGAGAGAAGACCTGGGGTATGTGCTAAAGCTCAGGTGTCTTCACAGGGGAAATGTGGCAGTTCTGGCCTCTGGGACACTGCTGTTCCTCTGTTTGCAGTCTAGTAAAGATGTACAAGTTTTTTTGCAAGGGCCACCGAGACTCTAGAGTTGTGAGATCAGTGTGTGTTTCCAGATCTTTCTGTTGTTCTCTGCTCTGGAGTGGTGGGGCGGTTACATCACTTCTCTGAAGTTCATGCAGCCTGCAGTCTTGGGGTTCAGGGTCTTCTGTCCCTTCTCTATATTTTGGCATATTTGCATATCTGTCATTAGCTATCTTGGGGGTGGGGATCCATGTCTAAACATGAAACCCCCTTATGTTTTATGCATGCTAAAATTTAATTTCCTAGACCGTTTTTTAGTGTGCTTGCATTGTGACCAAGAAGTCTGGGATGAGAGTTTTCACTTATAGTGAAAACTTATAGTATAGTATCATGTCAGCCCTGAGGAAGTTCCAGATTTTAGAGCATTCCAGACTTGGGGTTTCCAGATTAGTGTTGTCTAGTGTTTCTGGGTTTTTGAAAGGTTGTTGTATTTAGGAAATGCAAGGCTCTTTTAAACACTTTTAAATGGACTAATTAGTGTGAACAGGTTGTTAGTGATTGCATTGAATTTTAGTTTTAGAAGATGAAAAGAAATTTATTAAAATATTGAGTTTCCATTGTTATAATAGTTGAGACTGGCAGGATTTTAGGTATGATTTTATAATCACGCATGAGGCCTATCCATTGAATTCCATTTTTTAAAAAAATCCAAGACCTAACACAGAGGTGAGAGCAGGTGCCTCAAAGCGTTAGTGCACTTTGTCCTGCGGTTGAGGTGGATTCCTATGAGCAAACCCACTTACGATTTTGTGTCCTTGAGTGTATTCATGCTGCCTTTCATGA